AAGAGAGGTAAATCATAAAGGTTGTTTTCCTTTTGTTAGTTGGTGTAATCTTAATGAAAGATGTTGCCATTTAAGTAAAGTACTGTTATCAGCAATATATAGTTGCTTTAATAAAGGATATATATATATATATATTTTTAACTTAAGCAATCATGCTAGTACTTTATTAGAATTCTTGATACAATACAGATTACAAAGAATTTTCCTAATACTTAAGTCCAGCATCACCCAGCCACCTTATTGGTACCTAAGTATGACCTGCCACAATACCTTAAACAGAGGTAGACTGCTCGTCTGACTGCTGCCCTACAATAGGATACCACCAATTTGATGATGTCTTCTTGTAGAGAAGCAAAAAAACAAAAAAAAGATTTTATATGTAAAAAAAAACAGAAGTATAGGGGTAAACGATAAAAGATACAAAACAAGAAATAAAAGAAAAAAGGGAAAAATGAGAAAAAAGGAAAGTGTGAAACTTGCAATTCACAAAAACAATCTGTTTAATATCAATAAGTTATATTCAAGTTATTGTCTTAACTTTAAAACTATTTTATCTAAGATAAACCTTCTAAAGCCTTCTGTATTTATTTTTATAGTTAATTTGGTATTACTATAATAGAACTAATATTTGTAGTTAGAGCTAACTATTAAACTTCTATGTTCTTACAAAGTTTATTTAAATATTAGTATTACTTTATAGTATATCTAAAATACTTTAATATACTCTGCATTGTTTTTTTTTTTAAATATTACAATGAATACTTGTAATCTAGGATTTTATTAATAGTATATTTAGCTAATAGTTGCATTATAACTAAAAGGAGCATCTCTCTAACAATTACTTAAACCAAACTAGTACCAAAATAGTTTGAAAAGTTAAGTTTTTAAGTGAGCAACAACTTTGGTTCTGCACTTATATATAAAGCAAATTGTTGCTAATAAATCAAAAAATATATGAAAAAACTAAGATGCAAATGACTCTTTTAGTAGTTTATATTAAGATTAAATCTTTTTTGCAAGTAGACTTCTTGGCACATTTAGTATTTAAACCAAAAGAATATTCTAGAAACAATAGAGAAAATCTCTGGTTAAAGATTAAAAGAAGCTTAAAAACAAGACAAATAGTTAGAAACATTCTTCTTGATTTGGCTTTTTATATATAATGCTTGTTGGCCTTTTTATTTTTTTCATTGTGTTTTTTTTTTACTCAAAAGTGAGGATTTTGGTTTTACTTTTACAAAAAATTATTATTGTTTACTATTTTCTTTTTTGAATAATTATATGTTATGACATAATGCAATGGGAATACAATAATCATATGTACAGTCTAACATATAGTATAATAAAGAATAAAGAAGAATTCAAGTTAAAAAATTATATTAAATTAGAGATATATAGTAATTTCCAAGTTATGTATATAAAATTTATATATTTTTAATATAGGTAAAGTATAGTTAGATTCTTAGCACAGTTTAAAGTATTAGTAATCTTACTGAAATAGTTAGAAATAAAATATGCTCTTTAACATTTTTACTGTTTATTTTTTCTTTCTGTAATTCTTTTTAGTTTAGTTTAGTGTTTTTTTTTCTTTTACTTTTTTATAAAAAAGTATTATCAGATTGATAATACTCTATTGTAGGATGATGGTTATAAATAACCTTCTAGATAGTAACTTGTTATTGCTTAATGTAATAGGTCACTTCTGAGCATTCTTAGAAGCAGCTAAGAGAGTTAAAACTTGGAAATTAAGCTCATATTATTAGCAATAATTGATATTCTTCTTAATAAAAATACACTAGTGTAACTATTTAAGTGAAAAAAAAAATAACAAGAAGCAATTATAAAAAGAGAGTACAACTAACTATTTGTATAACTTTAGTTATTGTCTAATTTAAGTAGTCTATTTAAAGGTTCTATACTAGCTGTTTTATCTGAAACTTGCTTGTAAATTTTTTATTTAAATACTCTAGTTTCTATATTTATTTAATTTATTTACAATTATCAAGATGCTCTAGTTAATATTAATGCAAATATGCCATGGTTACTAAGTCTTTAAAACAGTTGTTTATATAAAAACTTTTAACTTTGTACTAAACATTTTAAAATCTTATATATCTTATTCTTATAGCTGACTCAGTAATGCTACAGCCAAGACCAATACTTGCAATCAGAGTATACTATTAAACTGCTATGTCTTTGTAGAGTTTACTTAATTTTGGTACTTACTTTACAATATATTTCTATTATTTGATATTTAAATCAAGTTTCATCAAGATTAAGTAACACAAATCTTTAACAATACTACTATAAAGGCTAAATCTAGGAAATGGATACCAATGTAGAAGAAATCAGACAGACAAGAATCTTAGATAAGAGGTACTATTAACCAGACTGCCAGAAGTTTTGAACCAGAAGAAAAGAACCTTGAAGACAGACTTTAGAATATTAGAAACAAGTGATAGGTCTTCTAGATTATCTGATTAGAAGTCTGAAATCTGAAGCAGAGATATACTATAAGTACTAAAGATATGCTATAAAGTCAATGCTAGGGTCTAGATAAACTCTGCAAAAGCAAGCCCTATTAACAAGAAACTAAATATGGATAGTTAGTTAGCAAGAAGGCCTTCTGAAGCTCTACAGTCAGATGACATACTTTAAAATATGTAATGGCTTAACAGACATACAAGCAGAAAGGTTAAGGTTAGGTTAAACAGCACTTAAGTATACAGAAACTTGTGCACTATTTGTTAGTATAAGTATAAAAATCAGAGTGTTTAAATAAGTAATCTCTTAGTAGATTGCAAATATAGTAGTTAGTGTAGAACTTGTTGTATGAGCAGACTATTTAAAATAAACAACTAAAAGTTGTAAATATGGCTAGTTGTAAACTTACTTTGTACAAATTATGTAACTATAATTAAAATACAATAAAAGCAATAGTTACTGATTATCATAGCTTTAGCAAAAGCAAAAAAAAAAGTTTCATCAAGCTTTCAGTTAAATAGTCTAAAACAAATCCTGGTAGACTAGCTAGTTGCAATAACTTTTTTTTAAAGACTGACTTGTCTTTATCTGGCTTTACAGATTCTAGGTTATTTTATAGACTAGTTTTTATAATAGTACTATCAAAAGTTTGGATTATTTTTTACTTGGGTCTTCTAAATAGGCTTTTGTCTTTCTAGTTTTTGTGATTTACACAGTTACAAAACTTATTATAGGTTTATACTACCTAGTACTAGTTTGTGTTTCCTTATACAAAATTGTATAAATATTATATAACTTTTTAGTTATACTAATATAATACAAGTAACAGATATCTGATCTCAACTAATTTTAAAAAAAAACAGTTAACAATAATATAAAAAGAATTACAAATTTTTGCTAATACTAAAATTTGAACTCTAAACCTGCCACTTGAAAATTGTTAACCTGTTTACTATATTTTGCATTGTTATTAAACTTCTAATTTAGAAAGTTTAATAGAACAATAACCAGTTCATTGATATATTAGATCAGTCTAATATTCTTTTATTTTGGTCTATTCTGGCAGTCTGGTTAGTAATATTTTTTACTCAAAAGTTTTTGTTTATTTAGCTTTTTTATATTGATATTTATCTTATAAGACTAGTTTTTATAATAATATTATTAAAAATCTATACTACTTCTCTGTTTAGGTTTTCTTTAATAAACTTTTTGTTTTCTAATTTTAACAAATTTATACAGTTACAAAAACTTATTTAGAATTTGTATTGTTTGATACTAGTTTGCATTTTTTTGTATAACCAGTTTACAGATGTTTTATAACCTGTCAGTTATAATAGAGCAAGTATTATTACTATAAAGATTGTACCTATTTACTCATCAACCTGGAAACTAATAATTTGATGCTATATTGGAATAAATTATATGCAACTGGTTGATCCAATATCTATAATATTAAAAGCTTTCTGTAGCTTCACACTTTACTTTACTAGTACTCTTTTATATGCATAGCTTACATCAGAATAGAATTATTGTAAATTTAGTATCTACTTTAACGTTAATGTTAAGTAGATTCTGAATAAATATAGGTTGTATAGTAAAATATATCTGATTTGTTAAAGAATTCAGATTTAACATTAAAATAAAATATAAATTCATAATTATATTATTTGGTACATTTTTTAAGAACTTAGTCTTTAACATATCATCAAATTTATTAAATCTAAAGTAATTATCAAATGTGTTTTTGCCCAATAATAAACTTAATTATTATTGAGAATTATACGAATTATAATTTTTGCAATTTTTGGTTTAATCTTGTTAAAAAAGTTTTTGATTGCTACTATAAACTCCTGTGTTATCATCAGAAAATAAATGAATTAGACTGCTAAATTATTGAAGAACTTGTTACAAGCCTGTAATAAAAATCATGTATAATAAGTGCTTTATGCTATCTATTAACAATGAAATCAAGATATTTAAAAAATACAGGACCAAAACAATTATTTTAGAATAGAATTTTAAATTTCAATAGAACTAGGTCACAAGTATTTTATGATGGTTTTTATTGTAATTTGGTCACAAATATTTAAGATAAAGCTTTTTTATAGTTCCAATAGGACTAGAAGCAAGTATATTAAGATAAGATTTTTTAAAAAACTCCAATAAGACTGGATGGCAAATAATAGTATAGAATTTTTTTTAAAATTTCAATGTAACTGGGTTACAAGTATTTTAGAATAGAATTTTTTTATAATTCAAATCCAAATATTTAGAATGAAGCCAGGTGCAAGTATATTAAGATAGAATTTCAATGAGACTAGGTACAAATATTTTAAGATAAAGTTTTTTTAAATTTTTAATAGGACCTGGCATAAGTATTTTAAGATGGATTTTTTTAAAATTCCAAGGAACTGAGCAGCTAATAATGGGTCTTGATAAAGCGAATATAATAAATATAATTTAATAGTTATCACTAGTTCAATTGTAAATTTTTATTTAATATTAAGAATTCTTACATGTACTGTATATACATGCATTAAAATTAAGCAGTATATACTGATAATGTTATACTTCTTAATTTTTAATGCATATACTGATAATATATATATATCTGTTTAGCTACAGATCTTTGCTTGATAATTTGGCCTTATTTGAATCAGGTATGTAATTAATGTTAATGTTAAGTTCTTATTAATATATGTAATTAAGAGTAAAATGTTGAACATGTAAAGCATCGGAGAAAGGAATTTAACTAAAAACTTGTTATTAAAGTTAGTAAGCAGTAAAAAAAAAAAGTTAGTAAGCAAGAATACTTTAATAAAATAGTGATAAAGGATTTAACATATGAGCAGATATTTGTATCAAAGAGAGTAGTTGCAGGTAGGATATAATATAAAAAGTATTATTTTTGTAATTATATTTATATCTATTATTTATCACTATGTTAGGCTGATTAACACTTATTTTTTATTCTATGTACTAGATTTATGCCATAAATCAAAGAGGTTATATTTATAAGTTGTTATCTGGTTTCTAAAGTCTCAAACAAGTTATTTCTGTATGCTGCATAAGTTTCAGAAATAAAAACAAATAACCTGAGAATTATTTTTTAAAATAAATAAATTTATATAAACATATATGTATTTCTTTTTATTTTTATATATCAGAAAAAAAATACATTTTCAGGAGGATTCTTAAAAGGATTCTCAAGAGGATTCTCAAGCAGAATCTACTAGTAGTTTAACCATCTTTAAAAAAAGAAGTTTTGATAATGGAAGTGATCAGTCTAATATTTCCTTTTCCTCTGTAACTAAAAAAAATCGTGCTAAAAGAAGTTTTGTATAGAAATATTTCAAATTTTTTTTTTTTTTTATTTTTATTTTTTATTTTTAAAGCTGATGTTATTGGTAGCTACTGCCTTTATTGTGTTTTTGGTCAATGCATTACATATGACTTGTACAAGATAAGTATGCAACTAGCCATACATGTAACTTTTGGTTACCTATTTAAGTAGTTCACCCAAGGGTTCTACACTAGCTGCCATGCCTGTAACCTACTAAGAGGGTACCTATTTAAACACTCTGATCCTTATACTGCACCCAGGCGAGTAACACCTGGTTTCCGTACAACTAAGTGCTGTCTAACCCAACATTTGGCTTCCCCTTTTGTACATCTGTCAAGCCGTTAAACATTTCAGAATATGTCA